TGAACTTTGGGTGAGGCTATCCAGAGAAAAGAGGGAAAAGGAGAGGACCAAGAACAGAGAGTACAAGGGCTGGAGGACACTAAGGAAGATCACCTGAAAGGCAAATTACAGGAAGGAGCACGGGAGAGAAATGAGAAATTTAGGAGGAAATACACTTCTTCCTTACTTCTCATCCTGCATCTGCGGCTTAATGCAGACGAGGGAGGCGCACGCCATGGCTTCTTGCATTTGTCATCCTACCTAAACCAACAGTAACGTCACAGCGTTCTCCAACAGTCTCACAGGGGCAACCAACTAGGGAGTAAAAATAAAAGAGCCAAAGAAAATTAGCACAAAATAAGTTATTCAGAAACCTAAGAAATGTTAAAAAATCCGCTGATTAACTATGTCGCTGGCATACCTACACAGGCCGAACGAGGGAGAACGGCACAAGCCCATCGGAAAGGGCGGAGGATCCTAGGTGGGAAAACACATCCTGCTGCTCAGGGCTGCACCTCCACGTCAGTGGCACACCACCCCCACACAAGGGAGCCAGCCTTCCCGGCCTTCCCAGCCCAGACGTAAACCGAGGCAGTTCCCTCCACTTCTGTTACTGAGATACACCAGGACAGGGGGCGAGCCTGACGCTGATCTGAAACGCGGGAAGCCTGGGATAAGAGGGCCCTCGGTGACACCCACAACCAGCCAGGGCCCATGGGACGCGTCCTGCCAGCAGCGCGTGGGGCCGCGCTCTCGGGCGCCTCAGGCAGGCCCTTGGGTCTCGTGTGAGCTCCGCACGCCAAAGCCAAGCTGTCAGAAAGCTGGTTTTGTTGGTGGTATCTCCTTGAAATTACTGAAGAAAAATATTCTGGGGTTACCTTGATCACTCGGGTGACTGAACAGATGTATCCTGTCTGCTCCAGGATCTCTCCATGACAGTGTATTTGGACACCTAAGCAGTGCACACCTTTGAAATAAACGGGATTTCAGTGGCAGAGAACTCCCACATGCACACATGGAGCTACTGCATTTCAGCCATGTCTTTTTAACACTGTGAAAAAAACACACGTTCTAAAGAAAACGTTACAAATTCAAGTATTTTCAGAAGGTTTGTAGTTTCAGATGTTGGAAAGATAGTAAATGTGCATCTATTCATGTAAAGATGATTTTCTAATATGTATGAAACGACCTATTTCTTGAAACGATCTCAGTGGTTTGCACGCTACTGGGCCTTTTCAGCTCCTTTTAACCACTGGCCACGTTCAGTTTTCATCCACCCCCGCAGCTCTCTATCGTGAAGTAACGCATCTGCCCACCACGCTCCCTGCGCAGCAGCACGCGCTCAGAGAGGACAGAAGATAGCGCTCTCCTCGCAGGACACTGCAGGGAGATTCCTCCAAGTCAGATTCCTGACGAGGAAACACAAAACCCGTCAGGTAAAGCCCAGGAAGGGGGAGACACAATGAAACAGGATCCCACCTCGCAGCCCTCAGTCCAGCGAGCAACCCTTGCTACTGCACGCCAGCAGTATGCCGTCAACAGCACTGTCTCCGGGGGTAAAGACTGTCTGTGCACGGCCTGAAGGTCGTTAAAATTAGTTTTATAAAACACAGAGTGTACAAGACACAGGAGCATACAGACATGGGTATTGCCATTCTTACAGGAGCTGCTGCTGGAGTCTAGAAAAGCAGAATTCATTCTGCTCCAAGACATGTAAATCTGCTAAATTCATTAACAGAGAGGAACCTAACGCTCAAACTCTCACCTTGGAAACCATTACAGTGATACCGGGAACTGAAATGTTCCAGAATCTAGGCATCAACCCCAAATCTCTAAAGGTAAAATAACATGTAAGTAACGTCTATTATTTTTTATAAAATTACTGTATTTTGAAATAGTATGATGCTGTAAGACAGACTTCCTATCAGATTAGTACAGAAAATTTACATTTCAGCACCTGGCTCTACCTTTTATTTCAAGAAGCACAATCCTTTGAGGCATTTGGGACTCCTGGGCCTGGCCCTGTGTATTACAGATTTATTTTTCCTGTAACTCTGCTAATGCAATGTCATTGTCAGCGTACGTGAGTGCCACTTAAAGGAAACTCTGACCCACTGCATACGCTGCTTACCAAAGATTATCTCACAAATTATTTCCCAGTTTCTTGGTTTCTATCCTTTGCATTATTCAACAATCCACGTCCCAAAAGCAGGGAAAGTCCAAGCGATTTATTTCAGTCAGCTGCTGCGGTGTCTGAATAGAGATGAGGTCTCTCTCAGGTCACCTTCAAAGGGTCATTGACAAGCGCTCTGCCCTCAAATGTCACACTGTCACTGAAATACATCAAAAGGTCAGATGGGGGAAAAACAACAGAGCAGGAAGAAAATAATTTTCCTTAAAAACCCTTATAAAAGAATTGTTTTCAAAATTAAGTCCAAAGGATAAATGAAGACCCCTTAACACTTACCTGAATAAACAAACCAGGCGCAAATTGTCTCAAACAGCAAGTTTTCTGGTGCGCTGTGCAAGGAGCTGGTATCTACTCAGTAATTACAACTTGGGTTTTCAGACACTTTACATTGTTTAATGATGTGAGTCATTTAGAGCAAAAACCAAAATAATCAGACACCTGTACATTACCACATTTACAGGTTTTATCAGAGCAGCAAGACAACACTCTACAACCAGGTCAAGCTCTAGGTCACAGCTACGCAGAATTTCAATGCCTCCGAATTTGAACCCTTTGTAGACCCTGCCCATCAGAGATCAACACATCAGCACGTGATCCTGCTCACACCGTCCCAATCACTGCCAGGGAAAACAGGACACCTGACCCAACTGAAGCTGTGACAGACGGCACCCTCCATCACAACCCCGCTACCGTGATGTGGTCCGAGTGTGCCTGTGGCTGTAAAGGTACTTGGTTCCTGCTGCAGAATGCCAAGGAAAGCAACACACTCCCAGAGCAGAACGTGGCTCTGCTCTACGTGTATGGGCACAGATTTAGCCAACAGACTTACCACTGACCACTCCTTCTACTGTAGTTTCTTGTCAAATCTGAAACACAACACATTATCTTAGTGGAGCCAAGCGCCTTGAGGCAGTCTTGTGAGAGCCCTTGTTTTCACCTTGGACAGGCAGCACACGGGAAGCACAACTTGCAGCGATCCACCTCTATCACAGCAACCTGCCGTCTTCGGCCCTGCTTTTCTCCAGCGCTGCACCACTGTCACGCCAGCACAGCCCAGTGACTGCGACGGCAGCCCCGATGTGCGCTGCTGAAGGGAGAAGGCAAGTCGTCTGCTTGTCTTCATGCCTCCACGTCGAACGCTGAGCACAAACACACACGGTATTTGGTCCTTTTGCTCTCTCTGTTCATAACCCACAAAGGAACCCTGAATAGGGTGGTGCTCGTTTTCCCTCGTGTGTTCCCACCAAGTGGCACACAGGGTGACTGCAGACACCGAAATGATCATGCCGTCACGCATACCACTGGAAATTAAACCTATTCCTCAAAGAAGCAGTGCAATTTTTAATCAAACTGCTGAAATACAGTGAGAGTACATTCACCTCTGTTGAACCGAAATGAATGACAAACCCTCAGAAAAAGAGCTCTCGGTCAAAAGGCACCAGCATTTCAAGCACATGCAGCATATTTAATGTATGGCTCAAGGGCTCCATTCACTGTTTCTGCCTTGGCTTGTCTGAATTTGACACAAATTAGAGTTTTTCATTGGTTTTAGCTTGGCTTTAGACTTAGTTCTAGGTTCCTTGTAAGTCGGTAGAGACACAGGCTCCTCCTCAGGGTGATACAGGCTGGGACCCGATTCAGGTGACCAGACCACTCTCTTGAGGTTGATGTCTAAGCTCAGTCTCTAAGTTTGGCCACTTGGAATAGCTCCTTTCCCCTCTCCTAAGGAGTCACAAATCAGTTGTAAACCCCAGCTCCTGACTCAGAACTAAAGCATGAGGGTCCATCCGAGGAGGAGCGATGACAGGTTTACTGACAGAATACATATGCCAGAAAAAACAGCCGTTCCTTGCTGCGAGACAGTGGGACTCCTGCAACTACCCGCAAGCTACAGCCGCTCTCGTGGTTGTGTTGAGAAAAGCATCAGCTTCACATGGGCCTCGAGGAGGAGGATGACATTGTAAAACCATTCCTTGCTTAGGGACAACTCAGGAGCAAAGAATTATTCAAATTAATTTTGAAGTCCTGCTCTTCAAACATTTCAAATGCTGCCTTTATCTGGATGGAGCTGCAAATATTCTGTGAGGCTGGGAAACAACTTAACTGGGTAAGAGACCATGGAGGCAAAAAAAGGGGACTCTTCAGAGTAACCGGCATAAAATCAACCAACACCGGTCACATCGGATCAAAGAAACGTCAACCTTGAAAACACTCCTAAGTTTCACAATGTCAGGTGTAAAATGTGCATGCTTACATTTCAGCCACCCATATTCAAAGGTCTACACAACGACCCCTCTCACAGGTATGACATATGAATCATGTGTAGAGCGGCAGAAAATTAAAACATCTACATTTCTTTTAATCCTCTACTTGGTCAACTAAACGAGCTCACCTTAGGTTTGGGCTACATTTTTTCAGGTAAATGTTTCAAGTCTGGCACATCAATAAGAGCAGAATTGCCAGTCAGTCAAAACTGTTACAACCTCACCCCTGTGGAGCTGCTCTCTCATTTTCCGCAGGTTCCCACAGACAGACCACCCAGTGCCAAGAGGCAACCCAAGCTGTTTTTTAAGACTTTATTTAGGATTCCTTTCAGACACACGTGAGCCTCAGATACACAAATAACTTGAAATTCACTACGCAAAGCTGTAAAACACTGAAGTATTTGTTATTCCATCCATACATCATTCAAAGTTTTAATCTATTTAACAGTGTACCAAGTTAATTTATAGGTGAGGAAAAACCAGTTGACATTGTATTTGCTGGGGTAACTTGAGTCAAGAGGAGCAATGTCTGTCAAGTCAGTTTAAATGTCTAGATTAAATGCCTTTTAACTGCTGTTGCCATCTTCTTCCCGTTTTCTGTATGCTTTATTCAACATTTGTATTTCTTCCTGATAACCACCTCTTTCCAGGTGCTGCTTTTTACTATTCTGCCGATGAGCTTCGACAGTGTCTGGAATTGAGATGTTAATATCGCTGTCGGGATTGTTTGATGGTATGAAGAGGGAGTAGGAGGCAGTTTCCCCTAAATCACACGAGACAAACCTGTTTTCTTTCCGTGAGTAACGTAAGGATGGAGACCTTACCTGTGTGGAGGACTGGCTGATATTGCTGATGATGGACACAGTATCCAGGGCCTCTTCATTGTCACAAATTTCAAGTACCTCTAAATGAATTTTAACGCTCGTGTCAGCAAACGTATGAGGAGACTCCTCTGGGTTGGGCTCGTGACCAACACTTTTAGAACGATACACTTCAATTTTCTTGGACGTGGGTGTTATTTTTTGCCCTTCAGTGCTTACCTCGTACGTAGATAAAGAGAGAGTTTTTCCCGTGGGTGCCTGAAGAGATACAGTCCCTTGAAATGCACACAGAGGGATGGCCAGGGCCCCACCTGATCGCTGAAAAAGAAAGAATGACCATTACCTAATGCTGATTTTTGAAGGCAGAATCCACATAAATAAGCCACTCATGCTTAGTTTGTCAACTTGTTTTACTGTTGTAGACTTTTCCTTGCAGTAGTTTAGAAACCTGGTATTTATGGCTTTAAAAAGGTAGAAAGAAGTGTTTTGTAATTATACACTTTAGCACAGAACATGAAGTCCCAAGTGACTGTGACTCACTACAGGTTACGGACACACACTTTATTAGAACAGTCTACACTTAACGCTCCATTGCAGCCAGTCCAGAACGAGACAGCCAGCACTCCCAGGCTCCTCTGGAAGTGTCTTCACTCTGCTTAAATCAGCCCAAGATACTGGTCTCCTGAAGCCTCTCATACAGTGACCAAAAGGAGAGAAATGGCACCAGAGGACTGTTCAAAGCCAGGACCCTTCACGGACAATATCTGTCTCCCCTGGGCACCCTGTCTGGATTAGTCTTAACTAAATTAGGTGCCTACAGTTAGACAGCTTAGCCACCAAACTGAACTTTCCAAAACAACCTGTCAGATAGTATTCATGGAACTTTTTAGTGCATTTTATTTCTATAGTGGAAATCATGTTCACTCAACGGTACCAGCTGTAAATCTACAACAAGGATTTACAGCGCCACTACCCTGATGGCCAGAGCGACCATCTGGAACCTCGCTGCCAAACACATTTCACAGTGGTTCTGGGAGCCAATATGGGACATATTTTCCAGAAGAAAGACGAATTTATCTGTAGAGAGATTTTCACAGACTTGAAGGTAGAGAAAGTACAGCTCTGCAGTACTAAAGGCCCTGCTCGAACCAAGAGTTTGTACCAGTTGCAATGAAAATATTGTTTCAGAGGCTGTAAATAACTAAAGGCATTGCTCAGAGAAATCACTGCAAGTGCCTGCATGGAGAACACAGGACATGGCTTGCTCCTACGTGGACTGTAGCAGCTCAGGCAGTGGTAGGTTGTTCTGTGTTCCCTTCCACAGCACTGCAGAGCAGACCCTAACTCCCTCACGCTATAAAGACTCTCATTCTCAGCTGTGGAGGCTGTCCATTCAGTGACTCGTGTTGGACAGAAGGAAAGTGATGGTAGAATCAGACACACACAGCAAAGAAACACCAGGCTCAGGCTCCGGAGAATCTCACTGAAGGCTCAACTATTGCTCTGTCCTCATCTGCTTTGCTACGGTCGGGCTTTGACTGCTTCCTGAGAAGGGCCGGGATTACCTTTCGAAAACTTTCTCTCACTCCCTAAAAAATACTATTAAAATGAACCGCAGCTTTACCAAAAGCAGACTCCTTGGCAGGCAGTGAGGTGCTGACTTCGGGACAGGGCAGGTCATGAGGAAGGGCTGCACTGGTTTAGAGGGAAATGCACAACAGAGAAGACCACTGGAAGCAGGGGAAGCTGCAGAATGCAGCTCTGCACCCACACAGACATCAGGGAGAAGTGTGCACCGAGGGTGTTGAAAAGCTGCCAGGTAGCAAGGTGAATCACCCTGTACAGCCTTCTGTGTTGCTGCTGCTACGCTACTTTCAGGAGGCGTTGATGAACTTTTAAATCTACCTCAAATACCCCCAGATCACGTTGTTATGTGAACTGCAACCTTACTGCTACTGCCCGCAGTTCCCTCTCCAGTAAGGGGCCTCCCGCCCTGCCGTGGCTGCCACCTGGCAGGGCAAACCACCAGCCCAGACCTCATCCTCCCCCGGCCTTCCTCTATACACACACGGACACATGCACAGAGACCCTCCTCAGCAGCATGTAACTTTCTGGATGACTTGGGAATCAGGAACAGCATTACAGCAATCAATGCATGAGGTGAAACAATGACAGACAGGTGACTTATCAGGATTTGTAAGCCTGAGGCACTTAGGGAGTCTGGATAGCAGTCATCTTTCTCCCCGTCTATGAAAGGGAGGGCTACGATAAGAGGGAGACAGCTGTTTAGGAGAGCAGGATATGCCTCCTGGTTTGTGAGGGCTGTGATTAATCTACCTGCAACCAAGAGACAAACCACACCAACCCTGGGCTTTGGAAAGGACCGGTCTTTCCTAGGCAAGTTCCAGGTCGTTGCCCTGAGCTCACCCTTGGAAGCAGAAGCTCCAGCATTGTCCGCCTGGGTACTGATTTGTCTTGTGCAAACTGTGTGGAGAGAGAGAGGAAGAAAGGGACTAGTGACAGAAAGACCAGGTCTAATAATCAGCACTACGGAGAAGTGCTAGCACTATTTCAGCACTGAAAGGACCCATTCCACTTGGACCAGTTCTGTTTAATGCTTCCTTTCCAGTAAAATGGGAAAGTGAGCAAAACCAGAGAGGGTTATGACACTGATTGGAAAGGTCAAATTGTTCACAGGGAGCTGGGAAGGGCCATTATTTGCTGATTATTAAAGGAAGCTGTTGTGATAAGACTTCTATCGAATTAGGCACAACTTTACAACCACACAGCTAAATCAACTGCCACATTACCTCACCTTCACTAAAGAGCATGAAAAGGAAATGAGGTTTCACTGAGCAGAAAAATCTTGCCAGACTGTGACTTAACGTGGTCCTTCGACAAAGGAATTTGCCTGACAAAACCCTAGAGCTGGCTTGCCCTGCTGGAAGAAATCGAAGTTGTATTATCCTCCTTAATAGATTTGTCAGAGAAAAATGGTCCTCAAACATTCTTCCAACGCGCGGTTACAGCGGCAGCTATCATGCTGTGTCATCAAGCCAGCTAAGGTCCCAAATCGGTGCATATTATGTGACAGCAGCTCTCTGCCAGCTCCTGGCCGCTGTTCGAGCACAGAGCCAGGGCGGGTGCAGGGGCTCCCTCGAGTGCAGCTCTCCTAAGGGTAAGCACCAGCAGCCCCTCTTTCAGAGCCATGGCAAGGGAGCCTTTTTTTAAAGCACAGCTCGGTGTTGGCACTTACATTTTCTGTAGTAACCAGTAATTAGCACCACTCCTCCAGGAAAGGCGAGATGTGAGAATAACTGTTTTCTCAGCTTGAGGAAGCTCTTGCCCACTTGTCTTCCAGCCCAGGTGCTTACTAAGGCCACTCGAGAGCAGAGCAGCAAACCCAGCTCCGGGTAACACGGACTGGGCAAAGGCACTGCTCTGAGCAGCACACAGGCACAAGGCCAGCGTCTTGGATACTGCAGGAGGCAGAGCCTGGACACCTAACCATCGGGGTAACGCACACGTAGAGCGGTGTTTCTGCGGGGCACAAGCCGCACCGCTCTGTTTCCAGCCCCTGGCTAGTTTCTTCAACCAACACTGCAAGTCCTTTGCAGGGTCGGTCAAGAGTGTCTGCATTGCTGGCTGTTAATCAAGCTCAGAGGCTGAAGAACAGTCTAAAACAGCACTTGGATTATGCAGAAAGACATCTAAAGACTATGAATAAGTTAAACAAGAACAGGTTACTTCAGTGCAAGGTTACGTTCTACTGAATAAAACGCTGCAGATTTGTCAGACTGAACATCAAGAAGATGGAGGACGTGTCTGAGGCACCTGGAGGGAGAATGAGTAATCCTCACTCGTTGGAATGAATACTCCCGCTCTGGAGAATGACAAATCTTCCAATGACCACGGATTTAGTGGCACTTTCTGAAAGTCTGTTTTCTGTTGAGAAATCAGTATTTGCTTTTAGAAGAGAAAAGGATATACCAAGCCTTCTATGCCACTTCTCAGTCACTAACCAGGAAGGCAGTAAACTGTGTCATTTTCCATTAGAACAATTCCAGTAGAAACATTGTCCAATTACAGACACCTTCACCTGTTTCTACAAGTAGAGAATCCATTTGTCTCTTTGCAAACCGTGCACCACCATGCCAGGCACTAGTGATGGTGACAGGCGCCGGCCTAGGAACCACCACTCTTGCAGGGAGCAGCTTTCAAATCACAGCTTCAACCCCCTCAGTGCAGCGACCGAGCTGCAAGGGAAGGAGACTGCTGAGTGCAAGCTTTGATGAAGTGCATGTGTGCGAAACAAACCCGCTCATCATCAATGCAAAGTGTTCGCAGCTTAAAAAAATCCGACTAATTACTGAAAAGAAGTAAGCAGCACTGACATGGCACTACAGAACTTGCTAAGTGGAGTTTATCAAAAATTAAATCAAACCCTGGAATTACACGACAGGGGAAGGCAGGAATAAAGCCTGAGGAGAGATCTGAGCCACGGAACTGAAAATTCACCGCTAAGTGCTGGGGAAGTGGCACTGCCTTGGCTGGCCCGAAAGTGCCACAGGGCCAGGAAGGCGGCTGTGCCCCAGGCTGGAGGGGAGACTCTGCGGCCACAGACGGTGACCGTCCCTCTGCAGCCAGAGCACCCGAAAGGCGCTGGCGACCCAGAGCTGGATCTGGCCCCTCAGCTCCACAGCAATGCGCGGGGCAGCGAACGCCGCAGCCAGGCTCCCTCCTGGCTGGGCGCTGTCGCCCGCCCTGTGCCTGCTCTGTGAGCTTCACTTGGGGGACAAGCAGCCCGACAGAAAAATGCTGTGAATAAAACCAGCGCTAGCCCAAAAGAGGGAAGAACGCACTTCCGGTTTTAGTATAGGCAGGTAAAACGGGTTTGTTACTGGAATTACTTTCAGTATAAGTTACTATTAATGAGAACAGAATGTGACCCTTATCTTGATATCATTATTAAATATCCATTTTTGCTTTTTATGACACACCCATGGCAATAAATAGGAATCTATTAGCAAACCAGACTATACTGGAACATCCTGTGAAGAAGTATTATCTTCCCCTCCCGCTGGTACCTGCAGGTCAGCTTTGTGATTTTAAGCCTTAGAATGCAATGTAATTCTAAGGCAGTAGGAAGAGGAAGGAACTGGAGGAACACTTAACAGTGGCCTCCAGGTCATCCATCAGGTTCCTGTATCTCACCTCTGCATTATTTTAGCGTGAACAAGAGCATCCACAGCTGTAGAAGGGTTAGGATCCCTTTTTACTTCACTGAAAACAGAAGGCGGTCCCCTGTGCTGTTGCTG